CATCTTGTACAGCAATTAACCACTAGGAAGAATGTATGCAATGTGTGAATTATTGAAACTGTCTCATTACTATTTGTTTATCAATAAAATTATGGGGGAAAAAAAAGAAAGAAAACAGTAGAACAATCAGATGAGAGATTATAAATCCAAACTGGTAGGAGGACTAAGAGAAAGCACTTAGGTCCACTACATCGGTACAGACCTCCTAGCCAGGCCCATAAGCCCCCAGCCTCCTACCAGAAAATGCTGCTGATAAAATGAGCTGCTCTCTGTTCCCTCCAAGGAATCACTAGACATGAATGGACAGTGTAGTGCTCAGACAGGCTATCAAACTACACTAATCACAGGAAGAGCAGGGGTGTGGTGCACAACCTGTAGCCCCAGCACCTGAAGGCTGAGGCAGGAGAATTAATGTGATTTCAAGGCCAGCCTGGGCTACTTAGTGAGTTCAAGGTCAGGCTGAATTAAAAAAAAAGGATAGATATCAGCTATCTTCTCTTAATTCAATGAATAGAAAGATTAGTACTAATAGTGTTTGTGGACAGGCTATCATGTCTGCATCTTGTACTATGAATAACCACTAAGAAGATAAAAGTATGTGATGTATTGATTATTGAAACTGTCCTACTAATTGGTTTTGAAACTGTCTCATTGCTATTTGTTTCTCAATAAAATTATATATATATATAAAAAGAAACACTAGATCTGCTGGAAGACAGAATAGGTAGAGCTCGACATAGGTGTAGGCTATGACTTAATGAACGAAGTCCAATCTTACAGAAAATATGAAGAGTCAACAACTGGGATCTCATCTTATTAAAAAGCTTTTGCATAGCAAAGAGACAACCCAGAGTGGGAAAAAAAAGTTTGCCAACTGTTCCTTAGACAAATTGGCTAACATCTAGAACATACAAAGAACTAAGGGGGAAAAATTAGATGTCCCAAATTTAAAGACACAATCCAAAAACTGGCATTTGAAATGAACTGGCACTCCTCATATGAAGAAACACAAACAGCGGATCAAATAAGTAGATGAAAAAAGTCAACATCACCGGTCATTCCAGAGATGCAAATTAAAACAACACTGAGATTTCATCTCATCCCAGAAAGAAACACTGGTATCAATAAATCAATACCAAATGTTCCTGGGAGCACTTCTCCACTGCTGGTGGGAGTGTAGACTGGTACAACCACTGTGGAAGTCAGCGTGAAGATTCCTCAAAAGAACTAGGACTAGATGTTCCATGTGAAGTGGCATGTTCCCTTCTAGGTACCGTCCTGAAACTCTAAAGCATCACACCACAGGGATACATGCACATCCACGTTTACAGCAGCAAAATTTGTAACGGCGAAATCTTGGAAACAGCCTAAATGCCCATCAGCCGATGAATGGATAAAGAAGATGCGGTACTTTTATAGAATAAAGTACTCCTCTGCTATAATGAGATAAACTTGAGACATTTCTAGGAAAATGGGTGTGTACCCTGAGACCATCCTCTGAAGTAAATCAGACCAGGTTTAAATATCACACTCTTTGTGTTGTGAAAAACTGTAAGTGTAAGTAAGAACCACAATGCATAAAGGATATTGAGAAACAGGAAAACGTTCAGAGGGGAAAGGGGAGGAGAGAGGAGGAAAGGTAGGGAAAACAGGAAAAATGCAAATAAGCGGGGGGAGAGGGGCTGAAGGGAGGGGTGGGGAATGGTAAAAGGAACAAAATATATCATCTACAGGTACGAATTGCGTGTGATAAATTATGTCCCAATAAAATCAATTTTTAAAAAATGAAACAAGGCAGCTACTCAGTTCTCGGGCACATTTCTACCCTTCAAGTGTAAAAAAAAAATCAATTAAGAAAACGGTTGCAGCTAAACTAAGATTCGATGGTAAGGGTCGCAAAGGTAGTCTTTGGGAGCATGCCTGCATTGCCTCACGCTTAAACTCCTTTCTGCCGCAACCACTACGCTCTAGCTGAAAAATGGGGTCAGTAAGTGCGTGCTGACAGAGATTTCCACTTCCCGCCAAGTCGACCAAAGATCGTTGGCCGCCTGGCGAGTCGGGGCTCAGCGGTACCGACGGCACCTGTGAGAGCCCCGAGAGGCTGCGGCGCCACGGGAGAGAGCCCTGCGTCGGGCCGCACCAGCGCCGCGAAAGGCAGTGCACTAACCTCTCCGCAGGAAAAAAAGGTGGAGGCGCCAAGGGGCCGGCGTCCGCGGAGGGGCAGCAGGGAGAGGGGCAGTCGCCCGGCACTCGCAGCTCGCACAGCGCAGCTCTCGGAGGAAGGCGCGCGCGCCCAGTCCGCTACTGCGCAAGCGCGCAGAACCCAGGCCGCGGCGCCAGGGCCGCAGCAGCGCGCCCACGTGACCGCCCTGCCACGTGACCCCGCCCCGCGACCTCTTCCGCTCTCCGGGCCCTGGGACCTCCCGGTCCCGGCCTGCTTCCGCCTTCCGTTCGCTTCCTTATTCCGCTCCTCTCGTCGCCCTCCGCTGTCCCCGCCTCCGTTCCCGGAAGAGCTCCTCGCTCTCGAGCCAGCCACTGTTTGCGCTTGCTCGTGTAGAAATAAAGTTTCTTTATTCAAAAGCATTTTTTTTTTTTTTAAAGCCACAGCACTCCACTCCTCAGCTCCTCCTCCACAGCGGCGCTGCCGTTGTTCTGTGACCCTGGAGACTCGAGCGTCGGGGCCATTAATTCGGGTCGGGATGGCAGAGCCTCCTCCGTTTCTCTCCGCAAAGGACGTAGGGTTCGTCTCGCTTTTCTCGTGCCCATTCTTTTTCGGAAAACCAGGCCTGGCTGGGAAGCTGTGGGTGACGAGCGGAGGTCGCCTGCTCCCCAGAGGCGACGAGTTCAAGTCCCGCCTTGGGCCGCCTCGTCCCGACGGCGCCTACTCGGTTTCGCCAGCTCGCGTGGAGGCGAAGGGAGTCCGGGCAGGGAGGCTGCTCGCGGGCCGGGACTTGGGTCCGCTTGCAGTCTGCTGTGCGGTCCACCATTATTTATTCGTAGTAATACAGGAGCTTGTGGAGGGGCGAGCAAAAGTTTTGAACATTTGGGAGTCTGAGGACTATTGGGATTTCATAGTCCCATTAGGAAATGACGCCGATCCTAACCTCACAAATAAAAACGCCTCCACCAAGTAGTGCTTGAAACACGAACCTACATTGTTTTTCCCCCTCTACATGCCTATGGTGTTTAATTTCTGCGTTAGGCACAACGTGAGTCATAAAACGAACTAATGAGAAAAGGAACAATTACATGATAAGTTATTTAAAAATGAATTAATTTCTGGAAATTTCCATTTGAGATATTTTTGAGTAGTTGGCGTGGGAAAGGGAAACGATAAAAAAAGAGGAAGGAGTGAAGTGGGCTTTGAATTTTTGGGCCAAGTTATGGAAGATGGTAAAATAATATAACGCCTATTTGCGTAAACTGAATAGCCAAGTTGCTTCCTGAAGTAGGCTCTTCAGAATATTGCAGAAACACTTAGAAAAAAGGCACCTTACTTGGGCGGGAAGTAGACTGAGATCAGAGAGATTTGACGCCGGGAGTTGAAGCTGGTGGTACAAAGGTAGAAAGTGACCCCTTAGAAGCCTCTGACCTCATCCCTCCCTGGCCAGGACCTTAGTATTACTAATTAATGTAAAATCGAAAGGAAGGACTGTCATTTCTTTTTGTGTCTGGTACCTTCGAAGATTCAATTGTCGTTCGGTTCAAGTTAATGTCCTTTCTCTCAAAGTATTAATGGTGAATTTTGAACATTCCTGGGCCTATTAAACTGCATCACTGTTAGCATAATGAAGGCATCACGAAGTCTAAGTGTGCTTTTGCAATTTGTGTTCTTAAAGCTTTATGGTTATCTTGGAAGGACTCATTTTGGAGAACTACGCAATATACAGTCCAGTAATTTAAAAACTATAATGAGATACTTGAGGTTTTAGAAGTATGATGATCCTAAATTAGAGTGTTTTTCTCAGAGGCATTTTTAAAGAACTATCATGTAAGTTTTTTGGTTTTACTTTGCCTCTGGTGATCTGCAGATACAAAGACAGATTAAGTAAGCTCTGTATTTTACTTTAAATATGTATACATTTAAAGTTTACATATTGATTAAAAAATAAAAAAAGAACAAAAAGCTGCCTGGAATTTCACCACCTAATCCTGTTGCTGCTTCTAACAGAATTGCATGTATTGCAATAAAAAAAAATCTAATGTTACAAATGACCCTCTGTCAATCCTGATTTTTATATGTGTAATATGAAGACTATCTTTGAAATTTTTAATGCAAGTGTAAATTTTTCCTCCCTAATTTCTAGCTTGTTTTGTTCTTTTACATATCCTTGGGTTTTTGTTTGTTTGTTTTGTTTTGTGTTTTAGTTTTTTGAGACCGCCTCTTGCTGTGCAATTGACTGGCCTTGAACTCATTGTGTAGCCCAGGCTGGCCTTGCATCTGCAGCAGCCTCCAGCTTCAGCCTCCCAAGTGCTGAGATGACAAGTGTGCGTTACCACACCTGGCTAACATTTTTGAAAAATCTCTAATTTGTAACTGAAAGAGAAAGTAACATTATAGGCAGAATAGGGTAAAAAGACAAATAGAGATGGTAGTGAGGGAAATCTTTAAAAAGAGTTAAGATTGATTAAGAATCAGAATAGAGAAAAGCAGAGTTCATAAATATTTTAAAGCCTTTTATGTTCTTCATGCATGTCAGGGGAGTCTTTCTTATTTTGGCTGTTTTATCGGTACGTATAAAGTGGAGCCAATGGTTACATGCATCATGGGGAGTTGGTGCGTGGACATAGGGATAGAGTTTTTAGAGCAGTTTTACAACCATTGGCTCCACTTTTTGAGCAGATGAAGTGACTAGAAGGCCTGAGACTAGAGCCAGTTTGATTCGGAGCCTAATCTTTTCCTTAGCCTGCCACACTGTTGAATAGTTTCTGATTTAGGGGAAGAAACACAGTAGAATTGAAGAGATAAAAAACGATGAAATAGACTCCTGGGATTAGTGGCACCGATACTACTTCAAGAACAGAGCAGAGTTTTCAAATTTTTTGAAGTATTAATAGAATAGAAAAAATTGCTCTAACTTTTCCATAGTTGCTTGAAAAGGAATTTTAGGTCCATCTAAGGCTAAAACTATTGAGTAATATATTGTATGTGACTCTTTTCTAGATCATTTGCATATCTTACCATTAAAGACAGAACACCACAGATCTTAACTAGGGCTATTGACACATTGCATCGACATAAAAGTGAATTTTTTGAGAAACATGGAGAGGTAAGAATTGTGTTTTAATTTTAATTTTTTTTGATAAATTCAACAGAAAACAGTGGTTCTTGAAAGTTTCAGCTTATGTGTAAACTGTTAGAATGACTATAGTGATTTTAATGTAATATGTTGAAAGGAAGTATAATCATGTGATCCTCAAGGGAGAAACACAGTTCCAGCTTAGCGGTGTTCTAAAAATTTAGTCTGTCAATTACTTAGACCTAATGACATATTTTCATATTTTAATGTGGTATTTGTATTACTAATTTGAGAACTGCTATGCAAAACTCAAAAGAGAAAGGTGATATAAATTCTGATTAACACATTATATGATTAAAAATTGAAAGACTGCCTTTCAGAGTATGGACACTAGTTAAGGAATACTAGTTAATGGGTGAAAAACAGTTTAAGTTACTATGCAGTTGGAGGCAAAGCTGGTAAAGCATGCAAGTTTGGTTGCACCAAACACCAGTATGGTTTTTTTTAAAGGGTTGACACCAGAGATTTAGAACAATGTTTCTTGTCTTTTCTTGGCCAATTTGAAATGGACTAAGAGTTCATACAGGCTGTAATGTTTTCCTTTTTTCTTCTCTCTTTGGTTTCTTTTGAGACAGGGTCTCACTAGGCAGTCCAGGGGTTCCCTTCGCTTACCATGTAGTCCAGGGTGGCCTTGAGCCTACAGGGAATCCTCCTTTGTGAGCTGCCCAAATATTGGGATTACAGGCATGCGCCATCATGTATGGCTCATGTAATATATGTCCTTTAATCTCTTGTATGGTCTTCTTTCTTTTTTTCTTTTTTGGTGGAACCGGGGATTGAACTCAGCCCCTTGAGCTTGCCAGGGAAGCACTTATTCCACTGAGCCATCTCCCTGGCCCTGTTTATTGTCTTCTTTAAAGCTCATCCTGGCATAATACAGGATCACCTTTGGTTCCTTACTGCTAAGGTCCTGTTTGTCTTGGATGTTGACATTTGATTTCATTTTGGTGAATGTACATGTTTACCACTCAAGTATGATTTAGACAAATATTCAATTTTCCTTGAATGTTTGACCATATGTTTGAGCAGATGAATATAATTTCTGTAGTGATTACTATCATTTTGATTGGAGTGGCCTAACGTGGTCATTAACCAAGTCTCAGTGTTTTGATTCCTGGCCTAAGTGTCCTAATTGCCAGGTGGCCTAAGAGTGAGGAGTCTGTTGTCCTGCCCACCCTCCCCCTTCCACATTCTCCCGGAGATAGGATATGATTAAGAAAATGTTGACCCAAGTTGGGTCTGCTCTTGGTGGCCTTTCTGTGTCCCCTTTCCAGCCCCTTTCATACCTGTGCCACCTCCCTTGACCACCTGCGTCATCCCAGCTCTCTGCGCCCACAGCTGCAGCAGTGCCACACTTACCCCCAGGGCCACGCTGGGCAGCTTGCTGCTCAGATGTCTAAGGTCCAGGCTGGTTTAAAGGCATGTGAGTCCTCTGGGGACAGGGTTTGGCAGAGGTGCGTTCTTTGGCGACAGAGCCATGTTTTTGTTCTTCCTCTGAGCAGTGCCTGGCATGTAGGAATTCGGGAGATGTTTGAGCTGAATCGAAGTGATCTGACAAGCTGGCATGGACTTGGCCCTTCTATAGGCACTGGCCTCCTTAAAGAACAAGAGGCGCTTACCACCATACAGAAAGCTTAGGTGTTGGAATTTTCCACTTGCCAGTTGAAGCTGAAGACCTGGGTAGAGACCTGGTGGAGAGAGAGTTCCCTTGTTAGACAATTAGCCCGGTTGTACTCAGGCTCAGCTCCTGAACCCCTTTATTTTCTAACCTGTGGAATCTCTAATGCTTCAGTATATAGTTACAGAGGCAAAACAGATTCTATTTGTGGGCAGGGGGTGGGGCTAAGGTATAACTGAGTAGTAGAGCACTTGCCTACCATGTGCAGGGCTAGGCTCCGATCTCCAGTACCATTAAAAAAAAAAGAATAGAGAGGTACCTGCATTGAGAGCACTATAGGTCTGAAAGTAAAAAGTAAATTTCTTTAATATCAATATGGTAATAATCATTTTATAAAAATATTTACTTGAAGGGCCAGCAAGATAGCATAGCAGACTAAGCTCCAGCATGGCGAGCACAGGGAGTAGGATTCGATCCCTGGCACCACATGCTGCCACCGCCCCCGCCCACAGGCACGCTGAGCCAGCCACCAAGACCTGATGTGATGGTGCATGCCTGTAATCCCAGCGTTGGGGAGGCTAAAAAGAGGAGGATCACTACAAATCTGAGCTGCATAGTGAGACCCTGTACCAAATATATTAAAATAAATAAAAACAAATAAATATACACGTGTGTGTATATATATTTACTTGATACTGATTATTATATTCTATTCTGTCATGTTAAACCTTTTTTAATGAGGCAAAAATCTGGTATAAAACTAAAGGTACTGTATTCTTTTTTAAAGTGAATTTTATTGGTATATTTTAGAGATATATAATAACATTCAAAAAATAACATTCTTCATATGGAATTAGGTTCCATATTCTTTTCACTTTATTCTTTTTCTTTTTTTTTTTTTTTTTTCCTTTAGTGAGACAGGATCTCACTTCTGGAGTGCTGGGATTATAGGCCTGTGCCCCCACGTCCCGCTTACTGTATTCTGATCCTATAAGACTTCGTTTCTTCTCCACTTACACAAAGTGATACTGTAGTGGCCTGTCTGTCTGGGCCTCTCTCTCCCCCTGAACTTATAGAGGATAAAAAATATGATAGAAAGACTCTCAGCTGGCTGGAGAAACCTAAGAAGCCAGAGCTCTTTGTCTAGTGGTGCCACTGGTGAGAGTCACTTGGAAGCTTGAAAGACACAGGAAGCCTGGCAGCGGCTCTCTTCCCTCTGTGGTAGTGCTCAGTCCACTGGCCATGCGGAAAGGCCAGAACTTTGACAGAAAAGGCTGATAGATAAGGCAAGATCATGTTACTACAAGTCTGTGTGTTTTGATTTTCACCTTAAGGATTCTAAAATGTCTATAAGGGCCGGCCAAATAGCTCAGTGGATTAAAGCACCTGCAAGCAGTCTCAGAGGCCGGGGATTCGATCCTGGGCCTGCCGTGCTGGCTCCACCCCCAGAGTGCGCTGAGACAGCAATTGGGACTGGGCATGATGGTTTGCACCTGTAATCCCAGCTCTTGGGAGGCTGTAAACGGGTGGATCACTACGAGTCCGATCTGGTAGTGAGACCCTGAACACCCTGTAGACCTTTCCCTGAAAAAAAAAAAAAAAAAAAGTCTACAGGTTTGTAGAAGACAAACTATCATTTTGAAGTATGATATATTTCTTAGCTTAAATTTAAACCCACAAAACTGTTAATGCAGAGGAATTATTCACATATGCACAATTTTTTTGTTATTTTTACAGGAAGGTGTGGAAGCTGAAAAGAAAGCCATTTCTCTTCTTTCTAAATTACGGAATGAACTGCAGACAGATAAGCCCATTGTGCCCCTGGTTGAGGACTGTGCGGATACTGACCTTTGGAATCAGCATCTCGAGTACCAGCGCGGGCTTTTAAATGAGAGCGATGGACAGCCGAGTTGGTTCCGCTCGCCGTGGTTGTTTGTGGAGTGCTACATGTATCGTAGGCTTCACGAAGCAATTATCCAGAGGTAAGCGTGTAGCCTTCCATTAGCAATGTGGAGATAATTCATGCTTTTTTCGAAATGGTATGATGGTAAGTTTGAAGATTAACATATGGAAGCCTGAATTCAGCAAAGTTCAGCGAATATTAATGGCACCGTTGATCATTTCCACAAATAATATCAAATTGAGGGCTTCTTGGTAAATGTAATCTTTTTGCCTACAATAGACATAAGGTTGAGTGTCTAGAGGAACTTATCAAAGATCTTATAAAGACATCTAAAATAAAACAGGTTATACTTACTGAGCTATATATATGTGTAAAATTAAAATGATGTAAAATAAATGTATGTTTTATTTAGAAATAGTTTATCAGAATTTATTTGTTGTAAGGGACCATCAGAACAGTGGCTTTTGTGTCTCCCACACTGCCTTGTAGTCCTACAATTGTTTTATTTTGTTTTTGATTTCTAAATTAGAAAGACTAATAAAAGTTACACATGTATTCCAAACAGTTTTTGTAGCTTGTTTATGCTGTTTTATTTTTCCTAGGAAAATTCTAATAAAGAACTGATTTATAATGCAAAAGAAAAGGTCATGTGCATTACTCTTGCAGTTTGCAAGTTTGCAAAAGTGTAGGTCTGCTATGTTCCCTTGAGGTGGAGTCCTTTGGTGACCCTTCCTAGACATAGCATAGGATAATCTAATTGATTGAACCAGCATTAATTGTAAAATAAAATTATTTTTAGAAATATATTTTTTGTCTTGATCTTTATCAATTATTTTAAATCACAGTTGTGGCTTTTGCCAAGTAGGAGTATTTGAGAACTGTTCTAAAGGCGAAACACAGTCTTACAGATTGGTAAGGAGAGGAGACCCTCAACAGACGCTGTCCTTTGTTAAACAGCAGCTGTGCGCCAGTTATGGCACTTACCTTACTGCAGTGTATACTTGAGGAGTTTCCAGATTGGAGCTGTTGTGAAGAATGTTGCTGTAAACATACAAATATGTTTTTAGTGAACATGTATGTGTCTTTTTGTTGGGAATGTACCTGGGTATGAATCCCTGACTCATAGGATATGTACATATATGGCTAGGGTAGATTCTCAAGGAATGAACATTTTATTTATTTATTTATTTTGGTGGAACCAGGGATTGAACTCAGACCCTTGCGCTTGCCAGGGAAGTGCTTATTCTACTGAGCCAAGTCCCTGACCCCAAGGAACGAACATTTTAAAGATGAGAAATTTTATATGTGTATTTTAAATACAAGCGATATAACTATACATTGTATATATTTATGTGAGGTTTATTCTTTTAAATACAATTAAGACTCATTAGTAACATGAGGCGTGACTTTAATGATTGAGCTGTTAATAAAACATAAGAACATGTGTTGTCAAACATTTACTGGGCCAGATAATAAATATTTTAGAGTTGTTGGGCCATATGCTCTCTGTCTTGGCCACACAGCTTTCCTGTCATGTTATGAAGACACCATAGACATCACGTAAACAAAGGAGCAGGGCTGTGTTCCAGTAACACTCCACTCATGGAAAATAAAATGTGAATTGCACATGTCATAAAATACAGCATTTCTAGCTGGGTGTGGTGGTGCACGCCTGTAATCCTAGCTCCTGGGAGGCTGAGGCAGTTGGATTGTTGCAAGCTCAAGGCTAGCCTGGGTTACAAAGTGATGACAAGGCCAGCCTGAGCTGCACAGTGAGACCCTGCCTCCAAAATAAAATGAAACTATATATATATGGATAAGTATTTAGATCTATATAGATACGTGTTTTCTTTTGCTTTGTTTTTAATATTTTAGATATGTAAGAGCATTCTTAGTTTGTGGGTCTACAAAACAGGTGTTTGGCTTGCTGGGATCTGAAGGCTGCTGTTTGTTGACCTAGATTTGAACCTAGACATCCAAATGACTTTTATCCTTATGAACCACCTTGAGAGGGCTGGCAAGATAGCTCAGCGGACTAAGCACCTGCGTAGGCAAGCGCAGGGACTGGGGTCTGATCCCTGACACCACAAGCTGCAGTCGGGCACAGAGCCAGCCAACAAGTCCAGGTGCGATGGTGATACCTGTAATCCCAGCACTAGGCAGGCTGAAAACAGGAGGATCACTACGAGTCCAAGCTGCATAGCGAGACCCTGCACCACATATATAATCAATCAATCAGTCAAACCTTGTGAGATGGACTGATTTCAGCTATGCTGTCGTTGCTAAAAAATACCTTTGAATTCTTTCAGAGCCAGTTTATAAGCTATGAAATTTAAGTTTTAGTCACTCCTCCTTCTTCACCAAAAATGTTTTCATTCAGTTTGATTACATAATTTATTCCCTTGGAATTGCTTTGAGTGACTTTTGGCTATTTCCAAAAGTGAACCATGAAGACAGGTGGTCTCTGACATGCTGTTCAATAATGTACCACAGGTTCTGTAGACAATTCCGAAAGAGGATTCCAAAAGTGCTTTAAGTAATGGCAGCATCCTAGGAATAAAGGCATAGCTTCCCGTGGGACTGCCTGACCAGAAGGAAGCAGCCATCATTTGGATGTGTAAAGGCTGGTATGTTTTTAAAAAGAAACACTTCCACTACATCAGTCTTACATTGTCTTTCCTGTGGGGGAAAGTATCTGAATTAAAACGTCAGCCAATCAGAATTCCCTACCCAACTCTGCAGGGGCTATTGTGTTAGCATTTACATCTTTGTCAAGATTCTTCACTGGACAGCATGAGATATAGCCATGGCACAAACACTCACCTTTGGCAAAAATAAACATGAGAGTAAGATTCAACCAAAAAAGATTGGAATTTGTTGTTCTAGTAAGACCTGGGAATATTAAGGCAGATTTATCTCAAGTCCTCATGCTGGTCCCCAGTGCTCTGGGTGTGGCCTTTGGCGACTGTTACATTATAGCCAGATGTTCCATTTGTATTCCTGTATGTGTTGCTAGGAGCCGAGCCACATGGATACTCAAAAAATGGTTGCCAAACTAAAGCAGTTTTTTTCAAATTTCTTTAATATTTCTCCTTTTGCTTTGGAATCTCTTGTGGATAAATAATTGTGGACATAAGCACTAGAATTACGACTTCCGGTAAAATAGTTGATGTGGGAAACTTTGACAATGAATTGAAATGAGCTAGGGGATTTGTTTTGATATAACTTGATTATCTGAGCTACGTCTAGTATCTGTCACCACTAATTACTGCGAGTCCTGGTGCTGTTCACTCCTATTATTATTATTATTTTGTTTTATTTTTTGGCGGAACCAGGGATTGAACTCAGGCCCTTGTTCTTGCCAGGCAAGTGCTTATTCTACTGAGCTGTCTCCCCGACCCTATTATTTTTTAAGATACAGACTTAACATAAATGTTTCACTTACTTTTTTCTCTTTATTTTAGTCCACCAATCAATGGCTTTGATGTATTTAAAGAATCCAAAGACCAAAATTTCTTTGAGTCACAGGAATCTGTCATGGCTCTATGCACTCACTTGCAGGAATTGATAAGAACTATTGAAGACCTTGATGAGAATCAGCTGAAAAACGAGTTTTTTAAACTTCTACAGGTAAAGATCAGATCATCTGAACACTTTTATATTGTTTTGTAAATACTGACAGATGAGTTATAGTTACTAGTTAAGAATGGACTGTATTAGTTACTTCAGCTAGCGTTTTTGTTGTTGTTATTACTTGTTGTATTTTTTACCCCCTCTGAGCTGTGTTTTATGTTTAAAGAAATGCAGAAGAAAGAAAAGCAGCGTGCCCACCTGAGGCTCTTAGCTAGCGCATCCTCTCAGGAAACAGTCATCTTTGAATATGCTCTTTTCCCCATGAGTATCTTAAATTGTGAAGAAGAGTGGTGCAATCTATGTTCTGTCACCCAATTTGGTCAGTCACCACCCACTGGCACTGCTCCCAAGTAACAGGGCCCAGTTGCTTTCTCTTATTGCCCACAGTGAGTAAAAGTTTAAGGTCTCAAGAAAAACCTGAAGGTGTTTCATTCTGCGGAGAATGTTCATCAGAAGTCACAGCACTCGGTTTCTGTCCACACCAATACTCTGGGGCTGCTTGGTGTCCAGCAGTTTTCTAGGTGCTGGGCGCATGGTGATGGCAGAAGCAGGCTGACCCCTGCTGTCATAGAACTTGGAACCTTGAAGGAATATAGAGTATCAACCAATTGCACAAGTAACCATGTAGTTAAAAACTTAGAGATGATATAAGAAAATGTGCAGGAGGCCAACAGAGAACCTGAGCTCAGCTGCTGAATGCTGTCGTGTGTGCTGATGTATGTGGTTCTCCAAAAAGCTTTCGAAAAGTGTAGCTTGGGCCCTTTCGGTGTTATGTAAGTCTTAGATTTTTTTTTTTTTTTTAAAAAAGCTTTAATTTATCTTTTAAAACATTATTCTTGGTCAGAACATACATTTTCCTTATCTTATGTTTAAATGTAATTTGTTACTCCTTTTTTTTTTCTTTTGCAACTGGATCTCTTCGCGTCCCTCAGGCTGACCTTGAACTTTGGGCCCCTGCATTCTTGCCTCAGCCTCCCCAGTGACTGAGACTCTGGGCACCAGGCCTGGCTGTTTTTTTCATTTTGAATCATGAATGAGAGAAAAGTCTCTTTTGATTAAAATGTACTGAATACCTATACATGCCAAATACATTGATATTATTGATACATTATTATATCAGTACATTGATACGTTATTTATATGCATTGTGTCAGTTCTTATAGTAACTGAATAAAATAGTAGTATCGGTTTTTATTTGCCTTAGAACTTGCGCCTTAGTGATCTTACGTAATTTTCTAGTGACTCCTAAACATGTAATTTTGTTGTTGCTACTGTTTTGCTTTAACTTGTAAGACAGGGTCTCACGATGTAATTCAGGCTGGCCTCAAACTCCCAGCAATCCTCCTACTTCCAAGTACAGGGATTATAATTTTATAATTAAAAGAAATAGGGCTGATATCACCCACCTCTTTTTAAAACAAAATGACAGCATTATTTCAACTTAAAACCAACTTACTGATTGTGCTGCATCTACACTGACATCACCTTGTTTAAAGCTTGGCCTTGGGACGTCATGGTGCTAGCTTCTTTAATTTACCATCTCAAATAGACTGCCGTGTTCTGAAGGTTTTGCAGTTAGTGAAAGAAACTCAGTGATTTGGGGAGGAGGGCAGGAAAGAAGAAAGGAAATATTTTATTTTTCTCTTGACTCCCAAGTGAATCTGAGCCAAGTGAATCTCTTTACTGCATCTGATGATGTTTTAATATCTGTACGATGCAAAAACCTCCCTTCTGAGTGGACAGTGTGGGGACTGAAAGTCATCCCCAGCATTGTTTAAAACACCCGCTACATATTGATTTAAAAAGCCAGTGTTTTACCTAAGAGTAGAGCATCGTGTGTAGAGATTATTAGAGAAAGTAGACCTGGTAGAGATTTTAATTGCTTTTATTTATTTATGTATGTATGTGTGTGTGTGTGTGTGTGTGTGTGTGTGTGTGTGTGTGGCCAGCTCAGGCCACCAGGGGGTGGGGCTGGCTGGCATGTGGTGCTGGGGGATTGAACCGCGGTCCCTGTGCTTTGCTAAGCTTGTTCTAAGTAGGTGCTTTAGACCACTGAGCCATCTCACCAGCTCTCTGGTAGAGATTTTATAAGTAAATGTAACCACTATTTTAAGCAACTCCTCCCTTTATCTCCATAGGCGTCTTGTTGGCTTTTCAAAAGAATGACTACTTTATTCTTTTCCTTTTCAGATTTCCCTCTGGGGGAATAAATGTGATCTATCTTTATCAGGTGGAGGAAGTAGTTCTCAGAAGACCAATATCATGAATTCTTTAGAAGACCTAAAGCAGTTCATTTTAGTGAACGACATGGAACATCTTTGGTCATTGCTTAGTAAATGCAAGAAGGCAAGGGAAAACATGTCTGTAGATAGAGTGTATATTGTGCTGGATAATTCTGGATTTGAACTTGTTACAGATTTAGTGTTAGCTGACTTCTTGTTGTCCTCTAAATTGGCTACTGAGATTCATTTTCATGGGAAAATGATTCCGTGGTTTGTTTCAGACACGACTATACATGACTTGAATTGGGTAATTAAGCAGATGAAATTCTGTAATCATAAATGGATGTCCAAGTGTGGGGCCAACTGGGAAAACTACATCAAAGTGGGTCGATGGGTTTACCATGATCATATATTTTGGACTCTGCCTCATGAATACAGTGCAATGCCCCTGGTGGCCCCTGACTTATATGCTGAGCTACAAAAGGCGTGTTTGATTTTATTCAAGGGTGATTTGAATTACAGAAAGTTGACTGGGGACAGAAAGTGGGACTTTACCGTTCCGTTCCATCAGGCTCTGTGTGGCTTTCATCCTGCCCCTCTGTGCAGCATAAGAACATTAAAAGCTGAGATTCAGGTAGGTCTGCAGCCAGGGCAAGGGGAGCAGCTCACGGCCTTGGATCCCCACTGGCTGACCTCCGGGAAGTATGGCGTATTTCAGTTTGATGGCCCACTCTGATGTGGCTTGGAAGCCCCAGGAGAGAGCAGGGTCTGAGAAGCGCCTTTTCCTCCCTGGATGGCAGTGTGCGGTTGAGTCTGTGGCCTGCACTGCTGTGACTCTAGAAAGCTTAGCTTCTCCAAGCTGACGCGCTTGTGCTCTGGGTGGCTTTTCCTCAGAACTCTTTGCCCCACTACGATGTTCTGGAAATACATTCTTTTAAGTTAGTTACAGATATTTATGTTTTTGTTAGAATTTTAGTATCTCATCTACATTAAATGCATAATTTAAGAGGTTTTGATAAACTTTAATTGGCAAAAAGCAAAATATAAGTGAACTCTGCTTTTTAAATTAGTTAATCCTGTTTTTTCAGGGCTGGGGAGAGGCACAATAGAATAAGCACTTCCCTGGCCAGTGCAAGGGTCTGAATTCAATCCCCGGTTCCGCCAAAAAAAAGAGAAAAAAAATCCTGTTTTTTCTTAAGCAGTATACTGCATGATATTTAATATGCTAGGAAGCATGGAATTTTATTTAGCTTGATATCAGGCTCTTGAAATAATAGCTCAGTAAAAATATGTATTTTGGTGCATCTAGAAGAGATGTGTTGTGTGTGTGGGTGTGTGTGTATGTTGGGAATTGAACTCAGGACCGCACACTTGTCAGGTGGAGCTGTATCCAGTACCATGGAGCTGTATCCCCAGCCCAAGAGATGCATTCTTAGAAATGTGATGCTTGAAAAGGAAAGCTTACCTCATAAGTTAATTGTAACTGTTGTTCTTTATGGTTTTATTACAATAGATTGTTTTATTTGCATGCATTTATATTTTGGTTGGCCTAAAAAATTATATTGAGAAACAAAATTGAATGGGGTGAAACAGTGTTTGAAAAAAAATGTAGTATCTTTTACATTCTATTTATGATAATCACCATCAACTGAAATTATAATTTTACCACATAAGTATTTTAAATGAACAGATTTTTAGTTTGTGGTTTTAGAAAATTGCTTTATGTAAAAAAGATTCTTCTGTGTTGAATTTGGATGCCGTCGTGCTGTTTTTATGTTACACACTGTACTGGTCACTGTGGCAGACGCCAATAACTGCAAACTGGTTTGTTTTGAAACTGAAATTGGAAATAAACCTGGAAATGTTTTCTTGCACTGGAATAATAAAATTGCCCAAAAATCTTCATGGCTTTATTTTCTACTGGGGAAAAATTAAGAGGGGACGAGTCAAGATGAGCTCGCCATAATCAGAGCCTCCTCTGATTACGCCTGGTGGCCATGGCGGGGGTCGCTGTGGGGGACCCATCCCGAGTGGAGGTGCAGTCCGCGGTGCCACTGAGTGCTTTACATGGTTTTGGTAAAATATATAAAGTTGTGTATTTTTTAATTTACTCTTACATGAATATATAATTGTTTTAAACATTATGTTACTCAAATGTTGAGCATTTTAGAATTATTTGTAGGCATCTGATATAACTCAACAGTTTTATACTTGGGGTGACTTACTAGCCCAGGGTGAGCCGTTACCTGTCGTAGTGTCTGAAGCACTGGTGGCTTTTTCATTCCTATAGTGTAGTTTATTCAAGTCACCACCCGCATATGAGGAAGTAATTTGTTGCCTGGCCCCCCTACAAGAAAGAGAACAAGGATGCAAACTAGCGCAAGAGAGAGAGGTGGCCTCCAGGAAGAGGAAGTCAGTCCAATGGAAGTTTTGTAAAAGCTTAGCGGGAGGGGGGGCCTTGATTTTCACCAGCTAATGTAGTAGGCTTAGTGAGGTGTAATTCACCCTCAGTTCATTCAGTTAAGGTACAGTATTTTAGTATGTTTGCAAGGTGTGTGGTGTGCACCCCTTACCACAATCAAATTTCAGAACTTTTTTGTCCTCTGTAAAGAAACTGCAGCCATCCACTGCAGTCATTTCTCATTTCTTTTAACACTTGGTGACTGCTAATTCTTTTGTTTTTATGGATTTACCTGTTCTACACAGTTAATGTAGGAAAAAATCATGAAATATGTGACCTTTTGCGACTGGTGTCTTTTGAAAGCTCATCATGTGTAGCATGTTGTAAGTATTTTTTCCTTTTTAATGGCCAAGTAAGACTCCATTGTATGGATCTACCACATTTGTTCATTGAACAGACATTTGTTTCTACTTTTGTGAATAACAGTGTTGTGAACATTCATGGGCAGGTATTGGTGTTTACTGATATATTGTCTCAGTTCTTTTGGGTGTGCAGCTAAATCAAAGGGGACTAGTGAACAGCTTGTTTTTCAAAGTGTTTCCACTGTTTTCTGTTTCCCACAGCAGTGCTCAGGGCTCCAGTCTCTCCACATCCTTTTCAGCACTTACAGTTGACAATTTTGATTATACCTCTGCTGTTGTGTGGGAAATGGCTTCTCATTATTTTGATTTGTATTTCCCGAATGAATAGTGACATTGAACATGTTTTAATGCCCTTATTGTCTGTTTGTATATCATCTTTGGGGAGATAACTTCCATTTCTGTGTCCGTTTAAAAAAAATATCTTTTTACTGTTGAGTTATAAGATGTAGAACATACATTTTGAACATAATCTCATCATATAACACGATTTGTAAATACTTTCTTCTGTGAGTTGTCTTCACTCTTTTTACTAAGTTGGGGATGGGGAAGGCTTTGAAAACTATAACATGTTGTTACCTAGAGAAAGTACTGCTGTCACGTCTGACATTTAGTATAAGTGCTAAGTGACTTGTTGGAATTGTGTAAAATGAAAAAAAAAAAAACCAGTAAAGAGTGAGGAGAGCAACAAGAACATTATACTGCCACATCCAGCGCTCCTCTTAGGATATTGATGTGCTGGCCTTAAGTTTTACTGTATGTATAGATGGTTTTTTCACTTCTAAGACAAAAAAGCAAATTCATAACAATTAAAATTTTTTGTTCCCATTTTTTCTTTTCTTTTCTTTTCTTTTTTTTTTTTTTTCTTTGCAGAACCAGGGATTGAACTTAGGCCCTTGTGCTTGCCAGGCAAGCGCCTATTCTACTGAGCCATCTCCCCAGCTCAATGAAAATTTTTTGTTAAGTTTTTTTGTGCCTTTTTTGGGTAGTTTTTTCCTATTTTATTAAACGGTTAAGAATTTTTTTCTCGAATAGCAGTGCTTATGCATACTGGACTTACAGTCCCCAGCTGTGTCGGTCTGGGCCACTACAGTGACACCCCTGAGGCTGGGTCGTTAGAATACAAAATTTTTTTCCCTCAGTTTTGGAGGCTGAGAGTTCAGGATTAAGGCTGCAGACATTTGTTTCATCTTGTGACTGCATCAGAATTACTTCTACTTTATAGATTATTTATAGTATCTGCCATTATAAAAAAAGTTGAACATTTTCAGACAAAATTTACCAATCAAAATATTTGGAACCATGCAATTGTAGACCTCCTAAAATAGTGTTTGTGGTAGAGTAGCCCCAAATTCTCAATGTTGCTTATTATGGGAAAGGTCAGGGGTGTGCATGTGTGTATGTGTGTGCGCGGGCATGCGCGTGTGAGCGTGTTTTCCTCTTTCTCTCTTTCCCTCTCCCTTTCCTCCCTCTCACTACCATATTACTGACTTTAATGCTACTTGAGTTAAATACAGAGTTTAGGCACAAGAGGGAGACCCATTAGCATCCTAAGTGCCAAGGTTTTTCTTCTCTATTGTTCTGCACAGAGATTTCAGCAAGAAGAACTGCCAAAGTATAATTTTCATTGTTGATTGCATACGTTGTTGTGGTTTAATGATTGCACTGGAGCTAGGCATTTGCCATGGTGAAACAATCAGGTCAGTGCCAATAAAATTGCATCTGCAGTGACTAGTTAGATTAATTTTTTAAAAAATGTATTTAGTACAGGGTCTACAAGGTCTCATTACACAGGTCGAGCTGGTAGCGATCCTCCTGTTTACAGCCTCCTAAGTGCTGGGATTACAGGCTCGCTGCCACCACGCCCAGTCTCAGTTGCACCCTGGGGGCGTACCCTGGGGGTGGGGCCAGCACAGCATGCTGGGATTGAACCTCTATCTGGCCAGCCCTTAGATTAATTTTTTTTCATAAAAAATTTTTATTTGTATTCATTATTTTTAATTGTATGGGACACAGTGACAGTTTGATAAAAACTATAAAGTGTCTAATGATCAAATCAAAATAGTTAATATTTCCATGTTAAACAATTTTTAAATTTTTAACGAGTAATTATACATATGTACAGGGTTCAACATGATATTTCATTATAAAATACATACTGACAACTTCTTCATCTGCATATATGTTACTTTGCATCTTTTAACCTACATTTCTCTGTTTTCTTCCTACTCCCATCACTGGCGACCCTTTTCATCTTTCAGAATATTCGCCTTTTTTTCTAGAAAAAGAGATTCGCTATAATGAGATCATGTAATATGTCTCTGTGGCTCTTTTTCGCCTAGAATAATATCTTCTAGTTTCACCTAGGTTGTGGCAAATAGCGAGATCGCCTGTTTAAAGCTGAATGATATTCAATTATACAGACACACTACAGTTTCAGAAGATGCAAATTGTCTCCATAGCTTGTTTTTTTTTTTTTTTTCCCCAGAGATCAGACTCAGGACCTTGTGCTTGCCAGGCAGGCCCTTATGCCACTGAGCTATCTCTCCAGCTATCTGGGCTATTGTGACTAATAGTACAGTTGACATCAGAGTACAGATATGTTTACAAGGTGATGATGCGACTTCTTTGGCTATACATCCAGAAGAGGGATTGCTGGGTCACAGAATAATTTTATTATATCTATCTATATATCTCTATCTATCTATAGATTGTACTTTAGGGAAGAGTGTACAGGGTCTCACTACTAGATCAGACTCATAGTGATCTGCCTGTTTACAGCTTCCAAAGAGCTGGGATTACAGGTGCACACCAGCATGCCCAGTCTCAATTGCCATCTCATTGTGCCCCAGGGGTGGGGCCGGCACAAAGGCCTAGGGCTTGAACCCCTGGCCCCTGTACCTGCTTGCAGGTGCTTTAATCTGCTGAACTATTTGGCTGGCCCTAATTTTATTTGCAGTTTCTTTAGCAGCTTCCATATTGTTTTCTATAATGGCTGCACCTATCAATGGTGTACAACAGTTCTTTTTTTCTCTAGACCCTTTGTCAACATTTGTTATCCCTTGTATTTTTTTATTATTTTATTGAGAAACAAATATGAATGAGACAGTTTCAAAGCTGATTAATAGGACAGTGTCAATAATCAATACATTGTACATTGTTATCTTCTTAGTGGTTATCCATAGTACAAGAAGCAGACAGGATATCCTGCCCAAACACTATTAGTACACATATTTCTTCTCATTGAATTAAGTGAGTTCCTGGCCGCCATAC